TGAGCTCAGGCAATCCTCCTGCCTCAGCTTCCCAGAGGGCTGGGATTTCAGGCGTGAGCCACCAAACCCGGCCATTTTGTAGTTAGTTTCTCTTCTGCTTCCCGCCCCTAGAATTTAAGGCCCTAGAGATTCATTTCCATTTTAATCCATCTGTATCCCTTTTTAGTCCAAAATGGTACAATCCCTTAAAAAAGTGTCAACATCCTATGCATCCAATCATAGCCACCTCTATTAAAGAGCCACACCCACCAATAACGGGCAGCAGATGGTTCTTTCTCTAGGTTGGGCTGTAACTCAAGATGCTTTAGGACTTCACCCTTATAATTGCTGGGGGCCCGTTCTGTATCATTGTATGGGATGGTCAGCGACAAGGAGAGACAGAGGAGAGGCTCAGGAAAACAACGTTTATGATACTTCTAGGTCCTCGAGATAGAAGGTGAAGTACAACACCAGGGCCACACAGAAAAACACCCGGGTGGTTAGGAGGCAGAGGGCAGGGCAAGCAAAGGTCTGGTCAGAGCCTTTACTGTTGCATCTGTGTATGAGAAAGGGCATGCACTGCATGATTGATGAGTGGGAATAATGCCTATCGGCTCCAAGCTGTAGGGTGCAGCAGTGCTTCCTAGTTGCATTGATGACTGAGGCAGAAGAATATTGCCTCTTGGGGTTTAAGAGCTGAACAGCAGAGGAGTTGCTCTGAGTTGGTTCATTTGCATGTCAAAGGCACGCTTCCAGTTGGCTGTTTCCAACCTCTAAGAACTGCCCAGCCCTGGGAGGCACAGCCTCTCCCCAGCCTGGAAGATTTTCTGAGATGTCAAAACATCATCACATACAGAAAATTGTAAAAGTACATGCAACGCAGAGGTCTTTTGTCTAGCTGAGAGGGTCACAGCGCCCCATCTAACACCCCTTCTTACTTTGAGAATATTTTGTGGACGAGACACTGTGTTGACTCTCTACATTTTCTCTAAACTCTGCATGCAAGCTAAACAGTTCCTTCTTTAGTTTATCTTTTTTTTTTGTAAAACCTTATCATATACTGCAAAAACTTGAGTAAGCTTACTGCAAA